AAGGTCCCAGTGGGTGTGCCCGCATGCGTCCCGCACACCCATTTCGGCACACCCCTCACACTTTTCGTGCCCCATAGGAAGCTCCACCGAAGGTCCTAGTGGGTGTGCCCGCATGCGTCCCGCACACCCATATCGGTACACCCTTCACACGTTTCGTGGCCCCATAGGGAGCTCCACCGAAGGTCTCAGTGGGTGTGACCGCATGCGCCCCCGCCATTCATTTCGGCCCACCCCTCACACGTTTCGTGGCCCCATAGGGATCTCCACCGAAGGTCTCAATGGGTGTGGGCGCATGCGTCCCGCACACCCATTTCGGCCCACCCCTCGCACGTTTCGTGGCCCCACAGGAGCTCCGCCGAAGGTTTTTGTGGGTGTGCCCGCATGCGTCCCGCACGCCAATGTCGGCACACCCGTCACACGTTCCGTGGCCCCATAGGAGCTCTGCCGAAGGCCACAGTGGCGCAGTCCGCATGCGCCCCCGCCATTCTTTTCGGCCCATCCCTCACACGTTTCGTGGCCCCATAGGGGCTCCGCCGAAGGTTCCAGTGGAACAGTCCGCATGCGTCCCGCCACTTGTCGGCACACCCCTCACACGTTTCGTGGCCCCACAGGAGCTCCGCCGAAGGTCCCACTGGCACAGTCCGCATGCGCCCCCGCCGCTCATTTCGGCTCACCCCTCACACGCTTCGTGGCCTCATAGGAGCTCAGTCGAAGGTCCAGTGGCACAGTCCGCATGCGTCTCCGCCATTCATGTCGGCCCACCCCTCACACGTTTCGTGGCCCCATAGGAGCTCTGCCGAAGGTCACAGTGGCACAGTCCGCATGCGTCCCCGCTGTTCATGTCAGCAAAACCCCATCACACGTTTCGTGGCCCCATAGGAGCTCCGCCGAAGGTCCCCGTGGCACAGTCCGCATGCGTTCCCGCCACTCATGTCGGCACACCCCTCACACGTTCCGTGGCCCCACAGGAGCTCCGCCGAAGGTCCCAGTGGCACAGTCCGCATGCGTTCCCGCCAGTCATTTTTGTCGGCACACCCCTCGCACGTTTCGTGGCCCCATATGAGCTCCGCCGAAGGTCCCAGTGGCGCAGTCCGCATGCGTCCCCGCCACTCATTTCGGCACGCCCCTCACACGTTTCGTGGCCCCATAGGGAACTCCACCGAAGGTCCCCGTGGCGCAGTCCGCATGCGTCTCCCTTGCCCAGTGCAGCGTTACGTGGCCCCATGTGGAGCCCCACCGCAGGTCCCAGCCAGCCAGCTAGCTCTCTTTGCTCCGCGCAGCGGGCGACCCGCGCGCGTCGCTGGGACCCCTCCGGGGCGACCTGCGCGCGTGGCGGGGGCTCCGTGCTGCGTTCTGCCCAGCGCCTCTCTCGCCCGTCGTCGCTCTGCCCAGCGGCAAGAGCCTTGCCCGCTATCAGCCAGCCAGCTAGCTCTCTTTGCTCCGCGCAGTGGACGACCCGCGCGCGTCGCTGGGACCCCTCCGGGGCGACCTGCGCGCGTCGCGGGGACTCCGCGCTGCGCTGCGCCCACAGCCTTGGACTTTTGAGTGCGCGGGCAAAGAGGGAGTAAAGGAAGGGGAGGAAGCGGGCGCGATCCTCGCGGGGGGGCGCGCCGACATTGGCGTCGCGGCGCGCGGGCGATGCCGTCGAGGAGTCCCGGGGAAGCTCCTTGCGGCGGCCACGCCCAGCGTCACGAATACTCAGAGGCAGTCATTGTCAAACTATTGACATTCATATACAATTGCACCACGCTTTGCCATATTCGCATTCATGCGCGTAGACTCGCTCGATGCAGATTCATTCACAGTCAGACGCACGCGCGCAGATTCACCCGCGCTCAGTTTCCCTACGTACTCAGATCAATCGTTTTCGTTCGCGTCGTGTACCACGCCACTCATGTCGGCACACCCGTAGCACGGTTCGTTGCCTCATAGGGATCGCCACCGAAAAAGTGAATCACTATTGCGGTACTCACACCTGCATATGGTTGGGTCCCTCGTCAGGCTAATTTTTGACATGTTTGGGCATTCGCTTCTTCTCGGCCTTCCGACGGCCCGACACGGCCCAAGAGCCACGAACTATCGCCCCAAAGACCTCCAGGAGGGCCTCAGAACGGCCCAAGAGGCCTCCAAGACGGCCCCCAAAGGGCCCTAAGACGGCCCAAGAGGCCTCCAAGACGCCCAAGATGGCCTCCAAGACAGCCCTGGAACACCCCAAGAGGGTTCCAAATCGGTCCAGAGAAGGCCCCAAGACTGCTTCCGACGGCGTCAGACGGGCCAGGAATGCCCTGAGACGGCCGAAGAGGCATCCGAGAAGAGGGGCCCAAAGGCCCCAAAGAGGCCCAAGGAGGCCCCCAAGATGCTTCCAAACGGCTCCCAGGAAGCTCCCAGAAGGGCCCAAGAGTGTCACCAGCGGCTCCCAAGATGCTCCCTCCTCTCCTCCTCCTCCTCCTCCTCCTCCTCCTCCTCCTGATCTTCCCCGCCATCCTCCGCCAAGTGTTCCCCGAAGGGTTTCGACAACGATTGTGGGAACACATGGTCCGATAGCTTGGCAGAGCTCTTGCCACAACGCTCGGCCACGTGGGCGATTTCAAAAGGCAGGGGGCGGCGGTGATTCGCCGCAGGCGTCTTCGATATGGCGAGGATAAGGACGACGAAGCAGAAAGGAGTAGGAGTAGGGGTAGGAGTAGGAGTAGGAGTAGGAGGAAGAGGTGGAGGAGGAGGAGGAGGATCAGGAGGAGGAGGAGGAGAAGGAGGAGGAAGAGGAGGAGGAGGGAGGAGGTAGGAGGAGGGAGGAGGAGGAGGGGGGGCGGAGAGGGAGGGGGAGGGGAAGGGGGAGGAGGATGAGGAGGAGGAGGAGGAGGAGGCGGAGGAAGACGAGGAGGAGGAGGAGGAGGAGGCGCCCCCTTCCTCGCCCCTCCTCCCCCGACGATGACGACAACGACGGCGACATGTCTCCGCGGAGGCACGCAGGCTTGCCGGAGGGGCGGCGCCTTGATGGGCGGAGGCGGCACGGCGAAAGACCTGCGCCACTGCGTCACCTGCTCCTCCCCGTACTGCGCCGTAGTCTCTGCCTGGCGCAGGCACTGTAAGGCATCCGGCGCGTGCAGTCCGTCTCGGCACAAGCCGAAGCGGCGCGACCTCGCTCAGGCCAGATCGAATTTTCCTTCATTCACCAAGCAGTGCTTGCATTTCGGTGTTCTTACCTCTGTCGCCAAGCAGTTGGATGAGTCCAGCGAGGACTTTCCACGTTGCCACCCGTGGCCGCCTCGTCAACTGGGTGGGTCCAATGGGGTTTCGCCACGTTGCAGACCGTGGCCGCCTCGTGGTCGGCCGCCTTGTGCGCTGGACGGGTCCGGCGAGGTTTTGCCACTTTGCCGCTTCTAGCTGGCACCACGTAAGTTGCACCACATAGCTTGAATAATGTAGCTTGCACCAGATGGCTGACACATCCACAGTGCAATACCTAATTGTTTGGGGTCCACGCTGGCTAACAAAAAACAAATCAACTGCCAGCTTCCCCACTGAGAGGACATGGACTCCACCATGCAGGGCGCCACCAGGGAGTGGAGGAGGACGAGGAGCGACAAAAGGAGGGGGCAACCGTTGGCAGTTTCGTTGCCCCTGGGATCCTCGGGATCGCTGAGGCGGATTTCTTTCGCCGCTTTAAGCTTCCAGGGGCCGTCTTCGGACCCCAGTTTCATCAAATCACGACTCAGGATGAGAAACTGGCCCAAGGGAACGGGGTCGGGAAGTCGGGCCCATACCTCGAACAAATCGAGTCGCTGGACACGTTGGCCAAGCAGACTGGGCGGTCTCGGCACGGAGCACGGGGAAGCCACGCGCTGGATTCACCTTTTTGGGGCTGCGGCGCTGGACACGGTCCGATGCTGTGGCCAGCTCGGGTTGCGGTGTGAGCGAACTGCGCCCGTGCGCGGGGAGCGAGGAAGCGAGAGAAAGTAACGCCGGCGCGCAGAATGCCGCGCGAGGGCGGGCCCCGAGACGGCCGCACAGGGCCCCGAGCAGCCCCGAGGGAGTCCCACGATGGCTAGAGAACCCAGCCCAGCGCCAAACGTTTTCCAGTCCCCAGGACGAGGAATGAGGAGGATGACAATGAGGAGAAAAAGGCTTTGGGCTCCTTGGAGCAAACTTGCAAGCGCTTCATTATGAAGTTCTATGGGGTTCTGGGGTCCCTTCATGATGATGCTGATGATGATGCTGCTGATGATGAAGCTGATGATGATGGTGATGATGATGCTGATGCTACTGATGACGACCAGCAATAGGTTGGCTCATCAATTAAGATGTTGGCGTTTGACATTGCGATGACGGTGACGGCCACGATGCCAATGACGATGACGAAGATGACGAGACCGACCGTGATGATAATAATGATGAGAGCAATGCTATCAATGATGCCTCTGCTGAAGATGATGACGACGATGATGATGACGACGATGATGATGATGATGATGATGATGATGATGATGATGACATTGAGGACGATGATGACGATGCGGATGGTGATGACGATGACGATGACGATGACACTGTTGCTGCTGCGGATGATGATGTCGATGATGATGATGCTGCTGCTGCTGATGATGATGATGAGTATGGTGATGATGAGGATGATGATTATGATCTGAATGACGATGATGATGCTGATTCTGATGATGATGCTGTGGTTGTTGATGTTGATGCTGTTGTTGATGATGATGACTGTGATGAAGGTGGTGTTGATGACGATGCTGATGATGCTGATGCTGCTGCTGCTGCTGATGATGATGATGATGATGATGATGATGATGATGATGATGATGAACATGTCGATTACGACAATTATGATGGTGGTGATGATCACGGTGATGATGTTGATGATGATGATGATGATGATGATGATGATGATGATGATGATGAATGCAGGGAGGTGGAAGGAGGCATCAAGGTTTGAGACACATCTTCAGGAGTGCTGAAAGCCTCACGGCCTTTTCGCTCAGGAC